CAGACAAGGTGAAAAATTAGGTAGTCAGCTTGCAATATCTATATTTATACAGTTTAATATTAGTGACTACACAAAACCAGCCTTTCCTGAAGAGGCATTTGTCTGCTAATAAGTTTAATTTCACACTAAGGTTCACACCTGCAGGTACAATGAGACCTTTGCTGAAATGCATTTTAACATTTGAAGGTGAAGAAAAATCCATCCCTAATCTGAGTTACCTGCTAGTGCTTTTAATTACTGGGCTTTGCTATTAATATTCTTCTTTCCATTGCACTAATAAAAATCATACCAAATGTATATATTTTGGTATAATTTTTACTGCATTTTTAGTTCATTTGCTGCACTATAATAAATATTTTCAGTGAAGTTAATTTAAGCAACTGTTGAACTGCTTTGTTTCTCTAGAACCATTTGCTAAAGCCAAGTTCCTAAGCAAACCAAGGAATGAACAGTGTGACAGGGACAGAATGTGCCTCCATCAATGCTTCTCTTCTGTGACACATGTACATCCCTACTCACAGCTATACAAACTATTGATGGCAATTAGCCTTTCTGAAATAGAAACAAACTTTCTTTCACACCTCAGCCTGACTCCCAGTATGATCTGAGCTTAAAAGCAGAAAAGGCCCCAACCAGACCTCGTCCCTCCCTCCACCAGCAGCAGAGGTCCCTGTGTGGCTAGTATTAACAGACAATATTCATACATTTACTCACTGTTTACTGCTCAAACAGATATTTTTTGCCTCTTCTTGGAAAATATGGGGGGGAAAAAAAGAAAAAAGGATAGTATGCTGGCTGTACTGATGACAAATCTCCAAGCAGGGCAGAATTCAATGGCAACTTTATCGTTACATACCTTCCTGACCTTCATACAATTAAAACACATTTATAATGTGTTCTATCATGTCAGGAAGTTCTGTCATAAAAGACACCATCTCACAAAAGTGTGCATATAAATATGAAAAATATATATTTTGCAGAACCATCAGTTTTCATCAGAAAGAAGACTGAAAGTAGATAGTGCTGTCTACAGCAGGTTTCAGCCTGACAGTGAAATCTTAACAAAACATTATGTGACCTTTCTGCATTTAAATTTTCAGCCCAAATTGTGCATTAATAGAGTGCTTGCAGCAGGACTAGAGAATGATTTATGTAAAGACTGGTGTTAATTACTGACTGTGATCAGAAAGATAAATGAGAGAACATAAAGCTCCTCAGCTCTTGGTTAATTTTCCAGTGTACTGCCACTGTTCTGTACAGGGCTACAAACCAGTCTTGAGACCACCAGTATGTGATGTTCTTCCTCAGCTTGCTCTTCACTCCACTCTCCCTTATCAAAGGGATAACAGTTCTATCTGAGGTGTCAGAGCAAATCAGCACAATAGCACAAATAAAATAAAACTGCTAATGTACAGCAGCATATTTAATTCCTGTTTATGACCCATATTGTTCCTGCTATGACAAAAGCAATGTGTGAGAGAACATCTCTTAGAGGGCTGCTATTGCTTCTGTCAGCAACTGGAAGAAATCAGTATTTGTAAGCCTTCTACTGCTGAATTTGCCCTGAGATAGATACAAAGGAAATCCAAGGGAAGGAACAAGTCAGCAAAGAAATAGAGAAGTTGGCACAGGCTGAAAAGAGAAAGAATAATCAGAAAATGCAAAAAATGTTTGTGAGGAAGGACAGAACTTGTAGGTAGTGTTAACTTTCATGTACAAAATTAGAAGTTTAGAAGCCTTGCACCTGAAGAGACTATTTGCATCCTAGGACTCAGAGTCAGTAACTGGCTTTCAGCAGCTTTAATTTAGTGAACAGAACCTTCTTCCACAAAATGCACCCCATTTAAATATATTTTGCAGAGATAATGTAAAATTTCTCCAGAACATTGTTACAGATTAATGGAGTATGGAATACCCTTAATAGGAAATTAAGCTATAACAACGCACATCAAAATCTTTACAGTACTACTGTAAAAATACTTATTAAAAGATATAGCTGGCAAAGTTAACCTTTACTTTCATAAAGGGCTGTGCTCTTCATATCTGGCAGGCAATCGAACCTGTCTCCACTCTCCTGCCTGCCCAACTCTCTACAGCTCTTCCTAGGGTAGCTTCTCACTGAAAGTTTAGTGGTCCTTTCACACCTTGCACTAAAAACTAGTCTGAACAGCACAAAGGTGTCTCTCAGCACCAAGCATCCATGTCTTACTCTCAAAGGTTTGTCATCTACTTCACACCCCTTGGCTCTCAAAGACAGCTGAACTATTTCATAGCATCCAGCCCCAAAAAAGCTGCTGGATGGTACACTTTACAAAATATAAACATGTTTATCAGAGATCAAGAAGTGCACAAAAAAAAAAAAGCTTCAGTCAGTGCCAATACTTAAGGACAAATATCCGTTTCCTCTTTTAATTGTAAGATGAGCTACAAGGTGAACTAAGCCTTCAGTTCAGAGCTAACGGTAACATTCACTATCCTTCCTGAAAGAAGAGATTAAATGAACACAAATACCATGACAAAAGTGGCAGCTGCATTTCCTCAGCCATGCTGTCACTTAGGAAAAAATACAGAATAGTAATACCAAGAGTCCCACATAGTATTCTCAGCTAATCCCCTGACTGCTTTCCACCTCAGTTCAGTAGCAGACAAACTGCAACAAACACCACAATATACGAAATCACCTCAGTGCTCTGTGTGACCAGGCAGAAAACTTGGAACTGACTGAATGCCACATGCTAAACTACCCACAAGGTCCAATATGATTTGATTGAAGCATAAAATGACAGAGCTATATTCTAAGAGATTCAGAACACAATGTTTTCAGTCTTACACTACCTCTTTGCTTTCTGCACTGCATCCCCAGTTGCCTTAGTCCCTTCCCTCCACGACAGCCTTCTGCAAGTTTTGTGTCTTCCTTTACTTATCCTTGAATGGCAATATCCAGAGACACATTAACTTCACCTCTTAGCTCACACTAAGGTCTCTTTTTTCATGGCAGCATGTTGTACATGCTCTACACACAGTATCTCTCAAATGTAACCAACTACTGTTTCAAAGAAGGTCATAGTAAGATAGCAGAGGGGAAAAATAACAGTAAATAATAATAATAATTATATTAGCAACAACAACAGCACCTTAGCCTTTGCTCTTATAACTGAAACCCCTGTCATTCCCACTGGTTCTGTCTGCAGAGCAGTTTGGCATGTGTGAAGGATATGAACTCCAGAGGAAATCAAACCAGAAACTCAACTACAGGAACCTCTCAGATGTACTCCAACTACTAACAGCAATGTAAGGATTCAAACCAATTCCTTCAGCCTCAAACCATGCCCTTGATGAGGCAATTCAGTGCAGCAGACGACACCAAATCCAGCACAAAGACAAACCCTCAGCTTTCATAAAGGGTAGACATAAGGCCAATCCTGCTGATCATTGCCATTTACTCATTTCTCTCTGTTACATCAAACTACTCACAAACATATACACAGCCTTAGTTTTCTCCAGGTTTTTCAATGACTGTGGTTACTTTGTGGAAAAGCAGCAGTGGAATTTAGGTTGTTCCTAAAATTGCTTTGCTCTGTTTACACAAGTGGAACAAAGTGCCAGTTAAGGCGTTTTTTCCCCCCTAGGAAGTTTCTCCACCCGCTCCTGAAGTTTAGATGCAACTTCAGACCAGAAGTACAAGTAAAATTATTCACACTCCTGTTGTTTCCAGTCACACATTAGTAATTGGAAGAACAGTACAACTGGGCAACCACTCTAGAGAAGCAACATCTGACCACATATGGGACCATTACACCATGAAATGAGTCTTCAGCAGCCTTCAATTCTTTGTGATTAGCCATAAATGGACACAAGGAGGAAAAAAAGAACAGCTCATTTTCCAACAAATCACTGAATATGAAGGAAACATCATTAAGAGACTGACTGGGAAAAAAACAAGAGGGGGAAACAGTTAAAATTGTACATTCCATAGCAGAAACACACAAAAAGCAGAAGCTTAAAAACAGAAGGTATAGCCAATTTGTGCATAAAAGGAAGTCAGTTTGTGTATGAGTGACTTTCTCATGAAGTTTTAAGCATTAATACTCCCAATAGAGTTAATATACCTCTAACTTAAAATGATCATGTTTGGCTCCAGGGACAATATAGCAAACTACTACTAGCCAATTCTTTACTCCTCTCTCAATACAAGCTCAATTTAGTCCCAATTTAGTCACTATGGACTAGTTTTTCCGTATATGTTTGTCATGAAAAAACCTCAACCAAACCAAACCCACCCAAACTCATAATACTGCCTTGAACAGCCTTTGCTCTTTCACAGACACCAGCAATAGTAACAAAAATTATATCCTCTCCAGTGACCCAGAATGCTTTACAAACTGCCTTTCCAAACTATTCATTCTTTATAAAGCACAAACTGAGCGAAATGCAGCAACTTTTAAAGAAAATAGAGAAACATATCTAGGCCAGAGCAAATAAAGAACAGCATTTCCACCTCTGGTGAAAGGTTTGATTTCAGATGCAACACCCATCTAACTATTGTTCCTGTTACATATATTGGATGAAAACTGATTTATTGTTGGCTGGAAAATAACATTTCCAGTAATCAGAAACTGAAAGAGTGCTACAGAGTATGACACTGACCTAAGCCCAAAGCAGCAGCTAACCAAGGCATCACCATTCATTTGAGGAGCTTCACCTGGCAGCGCTCTTTGGCCATCTTTGACACAGCAACACCTTGTCTGCCCCATCCCAGCTCCATAGAAAAGCGAACTGGGAGCTAGTGACTGAGCTGGACAACCCACGAAGAACATACTACACCATCAGGAACAACAGAGATGCCCATCGGGGTGTTGCAAACCTCAGAAAAGCACAGTTCAAAGAGCACCACCAGCATGTAAACAACAGTAACTTTTCAAACCGGCTCTGCCTCACCCAGGTCAAAAAGTTACAATGGAATTTATAAGTCACTCTCTTAATTACCGCCAGCATTTTACCTAAATAGATCAAGCCAAATCCTCCCTGGCCGATCTGACTGCCCAGCCTCCAGGTTTTTCCTTCGGTGTCTTGCAGGATCATGTCTTTGGGGAGAGGAACTGGCAGCTTGCTCCTGCCGGGACCCTTACACGGCATCGCACCTTGAGAAGAGGAAAAGACAGAAAAAGTTTGATGCGAAAAAGCTGTCAGAAGATAGAATATCCCTCCGTGTGCTCTGCAGGGCCCGGCTGTCCTCCCAGGCTGCCCCGCAGCCACCCGCGGCCCG